CAACAAAAAGCGTATCGATGAAAAGTTCAAAACAAAAAATTGCCAGTTTTTATTTGGTATTTCATCAAACAAACAAAAAAAATAAATAAATAAGTTATAAGAAAAAAAATTTATCTTATTTTTACACTGATTACATTACCGACTGAAATTTAGCCCACTTTTTCAGAGCTAACACTTTGTATGGAAATAGTATGCGCTGTACTTTCACTGATATTTATTGCTGATATCGTCTTTATGGTCAAAATAGCCAAATTAACTGAAGTGGAACAGTTGCCACCTTCATAGCTGCTATTTCACCAATTTAACGTTGTCTCTGTAAATAACAGCATTATATCGATTAACTTGCCAACGGTCTCTGATCTTCCTCCCTCTGCTTTTTCCTCAAATTCTAGGATTTTTCATTTTTTTTTTTTCTCCGTTTGTATTAGGAGTAGTGATGTTTGATCGATATTTTGGAAAAGTTAAGCGGATTTTATATAACCATTACCAAAACAAAAAAAGACTTTGCTAAAATTTAAGATTACTTATTTGACAACTGAAAAATAAATGATTCTGTTGTTAACTACTCGTTTTGATACCTTATTTCTATTACAGTATTATTATTAATAATAATAATAATATTATTATTATTGCTGCTGCTGCTACTACTGATTTTACAGCATTTAATGATTTTATGCATAGTTTCTTCTACAGCTTTAAACAGTCATTTTCATGACATATTTTCATTTCCTTTTTCAATAGGTAATTGTGAAAATTTGTTGTTCCTCCTCTGAAATACAGAAAATATTTAACTACTTTTTTTTATTTTGTGTACACTTTCATTTTTCCCAATTATGTATCTTTGAAAAGTTGCTGTTAGTTGTGCCAGTAAGCATTAAAACTATATTTCAGATTAACAGAAATTAACAGAACTATGTGACAATTAGTATAAAAGTCAGTGTACTATTCTAAACTAGAATAAATTTTTAATATGGCTTCTATTAAGCACTTTTACGTACGCTTGAAAGATTTGAAATAAATTTTGAAATCAGGAACGACTTTAAGTCAGGAACGAAAAAAGTTTTATTTGTTTAACTGTTATACGAGGACAGTAATGAGCTACAAAAAAAAAGCAATATTTTTTTGGTACAGATTGAGCCTCAGTATTTAAAAGCTTTTTTTTTCCGGAACCAGAAAAAGTTCAGAATTAAAGTTATTGCTCAACAAAGTTTACAGTGTTTTAAATGTGCTATGCCTTTTAAGTATGACTTTTTGTTCTGCACTTTTTTTTGTCTTTTGAACTGCCAGGAAACACAGACATTTAGGGATTCTTTAAGAAAAAAACTGTCTAAAAAAAATTGTCATTTCAATCAGTGCCTATTTTTGAGCAAAAAAATGAAAAAAAAACCTGTCATCACTCATGTGAGACTGTAGT